TCCGTCCCGACCCGCCTGGTAGGGTCTACGCGCCCGCGCTGACCGTCTGGTTCTACCACGTGTTTTCTGCTCCTAGCCCCCTCATCCTAGTCTCTCTCGTGCTCCATCCTCCTCCCTCCCCCTGTGTCCTTTCTTAGATCAATTCCATGTCTCAGGGGCTGCACGAAATACACGTTGCAGGTAAGAATGCTCTAAGGGCGTATTTAGGGTTCGGGACATACGTGTTGAGTGGCATGCGAGCAGATAAGAGCAAGCAGTCTTCGACTGATTGACGATCCATTTCTAAAGGATAATTAGTGCTGATATCCTGAAACGGTTCCGCGCGCTCTTGCCTCGACGCCGGCTACATTTTCTCTGAAAGCGAGGCTCCCGCTCGAGCGGTGGCTTGAGCCTAAATGTGGGCCTTTGGAGGCCCGGCTACGACAATAACGGCTCCCGCTCGATACATCCTCACAATTTTCCCCGAGACACCCTGGCCGGAGAGGCCCCCGAACTCAGGAACGGCGCTCTCGCTCGAGACGTCCTCGCAATTCAATTAAATGGCGGAGGCCCAGCCGCGACGGCAAGGGCTCCTGTTCGATACTTCCTCACGATTTAGCCCCTGGCCAGAGAGGCCCCCGAACTCAGGAGCGGCGCTTTCGCTCAAGATTTTCCCGTAATTCAGGCAAGTTGGTGGAGGCCCGGACAAGGCGACAAGGGTTTCCGTTCGATATTGTTTGTCATAAGTATTCCGAGAGCCCCTGGCCAGAGAGGCTCCCGAACTCAGGAACGGTTCTCTCGCTCGAGACTTCTTAGCTATTCAGTCAGTGGCCGACAAGCAAGAGATTCCCCCCGAAAGTGGGTGCAATCGAAGACGAAGTGGGCGGGTATCGAGGGTTTGGGTATACGGAATGCAAGACACGCGTGCCAGTAAGAGCGAGCAGTCTTAACATGGCGGGTGTTGGTGGTGGTGTTGTTGTTGTTTGTTGTGGTGGTGGTGTTGTCGTTGTGGTTGTTGTTCTGGTTGAATCCATTTCTAACGAACAATTGTTCTTGATGTCCTCTTCCTGGTAACCATTCTATGTGTTCCAATTAATGTGCTACTCCCGAGGCTCGCACCCTGCTATTGTACAAAGGGAAAGCGAGGTGTCACCAAATTAGACCCTGGCCCCCCCCAGTTTACAACAGCAGCGGTTCCCGCCGCATACTTCCTGACCGTGTATTCCAAAATCGCGACCTCGCGCGGGACTTCCTCACTATGCATGCAGACATTGCGTTCTCGACGCTCAGGAATCACGTTTTCGCCTTGGCTTATCTCGCTGTTGCTCGAGACGTCCTCACGATTCATGCAGGACGCACGCTTCAGCAACCCGCCTGCTCGACCTGGCCGCCTGGGCCCTCCGTCCCGACAAGGCTGGTAGGGTCTACCAGCCCGATCTGCCCGTTTGGTTCAGCCACGTGTTTTCTGTTTCTCCTTTTGCTACTCTGTCTCTCTCTCTCGTTCTCGTGCTCCATCCTCTTCAGCCCACCTCTTGCTACTATCTCTCTCTCTCTCGTGCTCAATCCTCCTCCCTCCCCCTTGTCCTTTCTTCCATCCGTCCTCTTTTCCCCTGCCGAAGGGGCTGCATGACATACACGTTGCAGGTATGAAAGATATACCCCGAAGGGGGTACAATCGAAGACGATGAGTACGGGTATCGAGGGTTCGGGATATACGTAATGATTGGCACGCGAGCAGACACGAGCGACCACTCTTGAAATGGTTGATGTTGTTGTTAGTTGTGGTGGTGGTGTTGTTGTTGGTCAATGGGAAGGTGAGGACGACGAGGACAACGACGATGAGGTGGATAAGAGGTAGAGGTGGCCCTACCGCCCCGGAGGAGGAGAAGGAGGGAAGTAAGGGGCGACGGGGGAGGGAGAGGGGGACGGGGTTGGGTTTCGAGAGGGAGTTCGGAGGGGGCACCGGGAGGATGGATGAGCAGGAGGAAGGAGTGGGCATGAGGCATGGTATGGAAGGAGGGAGAGCGGAGGGGGGCGTGGAGGTGGATCCTGATGAGTGTGAGGAGGGACAGCAGTATCAGTCTGAGCGGGTGAAGAAGGAGAGAAGAAGACGAGGTCACGCAGGGCGATTCTGACGACGGCAGGTGGCGGCGGGAGGTGCAGGGCAGAGGAGGAGGAGGAGGAGGGTGCAAAGAGAAGGAAGTAGGATGACGAGTAGTAGGAGTAGGACAAGTAAGAGGAACTAAGAGATGCCAGACCTAAGTTATGGGCGCAGTCAGATGGATTCTGGGGGGGGGATCAGCCTCCTGGCCCCCCGTACCATGAAACACGATTCAGGATGAGCAGTTGATCGTGAGGAAAGGAACAGTATCCGTGGGGACTCCGCGGTGAGACTAGCAAGGCACAGGATGGTTGGACATGAGGAAACAGGTCGATTAAGTGAAGGCTAAGAGATGATGAGGGAGTGGAGGAGGAAGGGTTCCAGTGGTAGGCGGGGGTGCATGATGAGCAGGAGCGCTTGAGGACGAGGCGCGAGATCCATTTAGGAAGAGGTAGCAGGGTCAAGAGGATGATGGATGAGGATGACAATGAACTTTGCAAGAGGGAGGTGATACCTGGATCATCATGATGATGACCATGCTGTTGATGAGGATGATGATGATGGAACGATACTGATCATGATGCTGATGTTGACAATGAAGAGGAAGAAACCGTATACGAAACACATGATGATGATGTTACGGATGGTGATGTTGATGTCGATGTTGATGATGATAAGGATGTTGATGTTGATGTTGATGGTGGTGATGGTGATGTTGATGGTGATGGTGATGGTGATCAGGGTGATGATGATTGTGATGACGAACGTGGTGATGATGATGCTGGTGATGCTGAGGCTGATGCTGATGCTGATGGATGATGATGTTGACCATGATGAGCGTGGTGGCGGTGATGATGCTGCTGATGATGATGATGCTGTGCATGATTACGATGCTCATGCTGATGATGCTGATGCTTATGAGGAGGAGGAGGAGGGAGACGAAGAGTAGCATGATCATGAGGACGATGGTGATGATGCTTATTGGTGACGAAGGTGTTGATGATGAAGCTGCTTAGGATGACGGACATGTTGGTGGTTGTATTGTTGCTGTTGTTGTTGATGATGTTGATGATGATGATGATGATGCTGACGATGATCATGTTGGTGAAGTTGTTGGTAATGGTGTTGCAGATGCGTTCGTGGTTGATGAGACCTGATGCTTATTAGGGGAAGTATGCTGATGGGACTGGTGATGTTGCTGTTGTTGCTGATGATGATGACGATGAGGAGGAGGAGAAAGTCCACAATGATTTCGAGGATGACGATGAAGGAGAAGGAGACAGAGGCGAGATCAGATCGGGGACGAGGAGGCAAGGCGAGGAGGAGAATATGGAGGTGGAGGAGGTGGAGGAGGCGGAGGAGGAGCAGCAGGGCGATGAACAGGAGGGGTAGGAAGGCAGAGAAGCAAGGGAGAGAGCATGAGTGTGCCCTGATCTCTGACGCCCTGTTCTTTTTGCACCGCGTTGATCCCCAGAGTGCCCGATCCTCTCCGCAGAACCACTGGCCTTTCATCCCGAGCCGTCCTGCGAGAGCCCTGGGGCCCGGCGGGGGCACACCCGGGGACCGAGCACGGCTCGATCGGTCCCCAGTCTTTTCAATCTTCTCCTGGGTCTCCAGCAGCCGTCTGTGGGGCAGTTGGGGCTCCCCCCGGCACGTTCTTGGCGAGGCGCAGCTGCTGGCCAGCGCTCCGAGGCGGGGAAAGACCTCCGGGTAACTGCGACAGTGTCCGATGCGTTGGAGCGCTCCGGTCGTCTGGCGAGGATGGAGGGGGCCCAGTGTGCTGCAGCCCCAGGCCCCTGCAGTTCCGGCCATGCTTTCGAGGGGCATCCCAGAAGCCTGAAGAAGGCAACAAGAGCAGCCAAGACAATACATGTACTCTTGAAGCGCCATCCCGTGATCCTCGATCCAGGGTGCTGGGCACCGTGCCGCGCGGCGCTGCCAGCCCCCCTCTTGGCCTCGCGCGAGGAGAAGTGTATGCGCGTGTATCGACTCCGGCCGAGCCAGGATCAGGGGCAACGTTTCTCGGGCCTTTCCCTCTACAGGAGGAAATTTCAATGTATGTTTTGACTATCATTGAACAGTCTTGACTATAATTGAATATGATTGAATGTTTGTGATTTTTCGTTTCCCCCTGTAGGAGGACATGCCCGACCTGAAGGCAACGTTTGGGGGGATTTGTCGTCGTTTTCTTATTCATTGTTTTGCCGATTGGCGCGGGCTCTCGCACCCCCCATCCCGCCCCCGTGGAGGAGATCTTGGCTGTTTCTGGCGCCTGTATCGAGCAGGTGGATTCCCTTTCCCATGATGAGGACGCACTGTTGCAAAACATCGCATTCAGCAGAGGTCAAGAGCCATACCCCCCCCCCCTTCCGCCCAATGTCGAAACGCCGAATAAGAAAACGCTCACTTTGTTCAGGGATGCATCAACCTCTAATCGCCAAGTCATCGCGGGTAGGGGTTCAGAAGCCCACCTCGCCGAGGGACGTGCGCATTCCTTGTCGGGGGCCTATCGTCTATTTGTCGGCGATGTATCTCCGATTCCAGTCAATCAGTGGCGAAGCGTCCTGGCTTGCCTATAGGCCCACCAAAGAATATTCTGAGAACCTTTTGCGGTTGGCACGACAATGTTCTTAGAACATTCCTGGCTGGGACAGTCTTGTTTGGACACATCGGGTTAATGTTCTAAGATCATTGGTTTCATGTTTCTGGGAATTTGGGGGTTCTTCGAAGATTCGTGGTAGGCCTATAGGAATGCCGGGACGGTCGGTGCCTGCTCAATCCAGGTCGATACTTCCCCACCTCCTGGGTCAGTCCCCCCCGTTTCGCTTCCGAACGCGGGCAGGCGTACCCGGATCTCCGTGCCTTAGCCAGGATCGTTGCACGCGCACGGAGTTCTCTCTCTCCTCACATCGCCGAGCCCATGGCGGCGCTCCGCGCGACGGGTTCCGCAGTGGCATCGCAGTCCGTGGCAACGCCGCGGGAGGCGAGGTCCACGCCGAGGCCCGCCGATGGCTTGGCTGGCGACGACGACGCCGACGAGCGGACGAGCACGGTTGGAGACGACGCTTGCGACCACGCCACCGAGGGTTACGGCGGCCGGACGACGCCGAGCGGCGCTGGCGACGAGGCCGACGACGACAAAATCATGATGACGACCAGGCAACGACGACGGCGATCAAGATCACGATCTTCCTTCCTCCTCCTCCCCCCTTCCCCCTCTCCCTCGACGACGACGACGACAGTCACGATCAAGATGATCCCTCCTCCTCTTCCATTCCCCCTGTCCCGCGACGACGACGACGGCGATCACGATCACGATACTTCCTCCTCCTCCCCATCCCCTCCTCCTCTCCCTCGACGACGACGACGATCACGATCACGGTGCTCCCTCCTCCTCCCTTCCCCTCTCCCTCCTCCCCCTCCCTTCTCCAAAGGAGGGCCAAAGGGCCGACCGATCCTGGGAGGTTCGACGCCCCGGTACTCGAAGGCCCAGCCTCGGTCCTGGAAGGCCCCCCCCCCCCCCCTGCGTGTCCCCCTCAGGCGGCCCTCCTAGCCTTGCCGTGCACGGGGTGTGCGGCGCCTGAGGGCCCGCCCGAAGTCGGGCCTGTCCCTCCACAGGAGGAAGATGAAGGATAGCAGCCAAACTAGTCCGGGGACGATGTTCCGTCAATGTTTGTCCATCTTTGAATATGTATTGTTTGTTTTTCATTTGTCTTCCAAAGTCCGCCTGCAGGAGGCCATACCCGACCGAAGGCTCGCCATGCCACCCTCCCCTCCCTCGACGACGGCGACGACGATCACGATCACGATACTCCCTCCTCCTCCCCCTCCTCGCTCGCCTGCATCGGCCAGGGTTGGCCGGGCCGCCCGATTCCCGATCGCTTCCAGGCCCCAGACGGGATATTGCCGCCACTCCGCCGCCGCGCTCCGACAAAAAAGCAACGTGCCCGCCTTACCAGCTGGAACAGATTCATGTGGCTTGCGCCACTGCCGACCCCTACAGGGTGTGAGTGATTGAGACGATCGTGGAAGTTATGTCTTGGGTCAGGAGCCTCCTGGATGAATCTGGGGTTCTCTTGGGATACCTTTCTGGGGCCTCTTGGAGAACTCTTGCGGGCATGTGGGAGGCTTGTGGGGGCCTCATGGGTGCCTCTGGGGGGCATCTTGGTGGGAAAGTCTTGAACATGTCAGTTCGTATTCCCCCTCTTGGGCTGTCTTGGGGCCCTCTTGGGGCCCTCCAGGGGCCGTCTTGGGCCGTCTTGGGGCCCCTTAGGCTGTCTTTGGGCCCTCCTGGGCCGTCTTGGGGCCGTCATGGGCCGTCTTGGGACGACCTCGGGGGCCACTTGGGCCTCACGTTCGCTGTCAAAACGTATAATGCGAATGTGCTGAGATTGTATTTTTTCTCATGGAAAGGGGTGATGCTGGCCTCTTGGGGCCCTCTTGGCGATCCTCTGGAGTTGCTTTTGGGCTGTCTTCGGGGCCTCGTGGGCCATCTTGAAGCCATCTTGGATCGTCGTGTGGCCACCCTGGGCCGTCATGACGCTCTCTTCGACTGTCTGGGCGCCCTGTCTCGGCCCTGTTGGGCTGTCTTGGGGCTTCTGGGGGGGCTCCGACGTCCCCCGGGGGTGAGTTGGCGATCTCGCCCCCCCCCCTCCCCCTCCAAGAATGGCATATTTTGGACCCCAGGGGAGGGGGAAAGGGGGAGGGACACAGCCAAATGTCTCACACGCTTTTTCGCCCCCCGGCAAGGGGGGGTCGACGGATCCCTCGCCCATATGTCTGGCATGCATCATGATGACGTCGTTCCTAAACTCAACGCTGGTGTACAGTGCGCAGCGTGCTGCTAGCATCAAGTCGGGCCTGTCCCTGCGCAAGAGGAACATTCAAAAATAGCAAAAAATACTCTGGGGACTTTTTTTTTGCTATGTTCAAGCATTTTGGGTGCATTTCTTACGTATTTTAAAGTGTTCGCCCAAGATCCCCATGTAGGCGGACAGGCCCGATCTAATGCTAGCACGGCCCGCTAATGGGCCTCTGAGGCAAGTTGCGGAGGTGGGGACGAGTTGCTGTAACCCCGTTGGTCCCGTCTGTGCAACATTCCGCACGCAGCTATCCTCCACAAGATGTTCGAAATTATCATTCGATGCTCAGGGACAGGGGGCGGACACAGTCTGCCCCCCTCCGCACTGCTCAGATGCAGCATCACACTTTTTTTAAGAACTGCCAAGTTCCATTTCTTCCAACAAACAGTCCGCACTTCCAGCTTGAAGTATATCCCTACCCCTGTGTTTGGCATCATCTTAACCCGGTGACGATCTCAAGGATTGCCGCATCTCTGGAGGGGAAATCCTTGATATTGCCTTTGCCTTGGGACTGCCAATCTTAGGGATAGGGATCGGTTCGAGGTTGCTTGCAGTCGA